TGGAGAGTGTCTCTCACTGCCTGTTTGCAACTATGACCCTTTTCAGCCTGAAGAAGCTAGAGCAGTCATCTGCCATGGTTCCCTCATGGCAGGTCAGGTTACTTCTACAGAGCAGGTAATATGGTAGGCAGATTAATTAGATAGAAATATCATAGGCAGTCAGACAGGGCCAGGCCCTCAAGGACACCATAGGGAAGATAAGTTGACTTTACAACTTGGAAAATTCAGATACTCCCAGATGTTCCACAACTCAAGACAACTGAGGAAACACAGCTGCATATTTCCCTACTGATGGGCATCAGGGATTGATATTCTACATAGGTATCAATCACCATGAAAAAGCTGAAATGAGTCACTAGCCGAACCCCCAACAGGAAGAGACCCTGTCCCATATTTATACCCACTTGCTGAGACTTGCTTCTCCATTTGGTACTGGAGTTACTCAATTTTACCTGAGCAATGGTGCTTGTAATCTCATTGGTTGATCACAGTTTTGTCCCACCTCATACCAATCTGAGTTGCCATGTTTTCTCTACCACCTTAGACCTGCCTCACTGCATGGTTTTCCTCTATAAAAGTCTCTGAAATAGACAGCTTCCTGGGTACATCCCTCTCCAGCTCACCTCCTTTGCCTCTCATGGACAGTTTTCTTTCCCCCAATATCTATATTCTGCTCATGAAAAGAAGAAGCAAGGGCACATAGACACTATCACAAATTTTTGGAGCTCTGGTCTCAGGAACTGATCTACAGAGCCCAAGATAACTCATTGGTTAATTGGTTTTGCGAGTGGATCTGAAATAAAAGACAGTTTTGCCACATTTCCCTCAAGTTCTCAGTTTCTTGCCCTATACTGCTTTACACAACTTGGGGGCTTTGTCTTCCCAAAGAATATCTCTAGATGTGGCCCTTTAACTGTGTATATGGTAGTGAGCCCATGGAATCCTATTTCTTGATAGCTTTCCTCTTTGTAATATGGAGACACTAGCAAGAGAAGACATTTGAGGCAGGGTGCAGGGTTTCACCAATGCAGAGGCCACTGAGAGGTTCCAAGATCAGATATCATTGCCCCGCAGCCGCTGTTGCAATGTGAAAGTCTCTGAATCTGAAGAGAGTTCAGCCCCAAGCAAAGGTCGCTTTCAGTTTGCACAGCAATCAGCCTAAGAGATGGTCTCCAGTCACAAGTTCGGTCCAGACCTATAAATCTAATCATGGTAGCTGGAACTACAGAAATGAGAAAAGAGAAGAAAGCCTTTTTCTACCTCAATGTGGTGAAATCAAAGCTCCCCAGGGTCTTAGAAGAGGTCTCCCAAGTGCATGACTCAGGGAAGATCGGTCTGCCTACATCCACTCACATCACTGACAGTCTGCAGGCCTCTTACATATTAGCTGACTTTAATCCTGAGAAGATGTAGAACTCATCATAGTGAGCTTGGAGTAAGCATAACTCATTGCGCTATATGTCTGTTACATAATTCAATATTGGAAAGCCAACAACCCTATTAAAATGGAAGTTGAAGAATTTCTACAAGCTGTTCTAGTGCAACAAATACACTATGTCAGCAATGCAGGGAATGAGGCTGAGTATCAACTCCCCAGGGAGAAAGAGCTCAAAACCACAGCGAGACGTCACATGACACCCAGTAGACGGGCTGAGTAAGGACAGTGAAGGTGACCGAAGAAAATGGTAAAGCTATAATTTCAACAGAAAATCTGAGTGCTGTGAAGGACTCAATGCCAAGAATGATGCCACAAATAAATTCTCTGGAAGCCGCATTGTGAGCATTTTGGGGCAGTCCAAGGAAAAGTCTCTTTAATAGGGAGAAATATTATTTTTCAATTTAAAGATGTTTTCAAAGTATTTGGTCCAGGATCTCACTACACAGCTGAGACCGGCAGAGATACTCTTTGTTTTCAGCATCCCTAGTGCTGGGATTAGAGGTGTGAGCCTCCTACCCCATCTCAGTGCACCTGGGGGTGGAGCTCAGGCAAGAGTTAGGTAACACTGATCAATGCAAGAAATTTTTAATTTAAAGAATTGTCAGAGATTTTTATTAGCCCATTTCATTCTTGGTAGGGACATAAACATATTTGGTAGCTTTAACAAATACTCTGTTTCAACTTCAGAATGTTAAATACAGTCTCGCTGCATGGCCCATAAATGCCTTTTGTAGCTTTACAGGCATGGTAAGTAGGAAAAAGCTCATCTACACATAAAATTAAGCATGAATGATTCACAACAGCATTATTTGCTATACACAAACACGGAAACCATCCAAGTATGCGCCAATTGTTAAAGACATAAAATGAGCACACATACACACAACACAATATCATTGTCAATATTCTTCCTTCATAGAAAGCAACAACTGATAAATGCTATCCTGACCCTTCAAAAATGAAGACTGACAGCATTTGCCGAGGTGGGAGGAGGCACACAAGTAGAGGTGGGTCTCACAGTGCACATTCAGTATGCAAAACAGCAGCACAGAAGTTGCTTTTTTCCCTTGTTGGATTAGCTAGAAAATGTCAGTTCATAGAAACTCTGATCTTTTCCTTCCTCTTTTTCTGTGGTGTCCTAAATCTTGAATTTCCAGATTGTTTTCTTATCAGTATTATGTTGTGTACATTCTATTATAATAAATGATTTTTAATAGAATCAGAATGTAAGATTCCCTGCTTCTCCACTTCAAGGTTTGTCCAAGACCAGACTGTGCCCAAGGGGCTCAGAAGAAACCAGCAGGCCTCACCCTAGGTCAGGCTTCAGGTAGATGCAGGCATCTGAGAAACTTCAAAGCAGATTGGAAAACATTGGAAAAAGCACCCTGCTGTCAAGAAAGATTCCCATGGCCTGTGCTCTTCTGGACCGCATTACAGATGGGTCCCCTGGCCTCCACCTGAGCCTCCATGTGAGCTCATATGATTAGGATCAGTGCAGGTCTCCAGTGCCTCAGCAAACTTACACTGGCCATGGTCTCTTGACCTGTGTCTGCTCCAGGAGGACAAGGTCACTGTCTTAATCTAGTTCCTTTCAGTATCTGCCATAGGCAGGAGGAGCAGGATGCACACACAGCAGCCCAAAGGCTTAGGACTCAATAACAGAAGGGCAGGGTCCTGGTGGTGCATGCAGCTGCTATAGATAGAAATGTTGTAATAAGGCAGACATGGCTAGGCCCTGAGGGAGGTAGTATGGAAGACCAGATGATTTTGTAACTTTGGAAGGGACAGACCCCTGCTGTGGCATGACCACAGGACAAGAGTAAACAATTGAAGCCATCATGCCTCCATAAAGATAGGCATCCAGGATTGATTTTTCAAAATGGCTATCTCAACCCGAGGACCCCTGACAGTGCTTGTGTCCCCCTTTCTGCCCCTCACTCTGATAGGAGCTTTGTCTGCCCCAGTAAATATATTCTGCTCTTTATTTTTATTTTTATTATTTTTTTTTCATTTTATGGAGTGGTCTACAGGGTATTCAGGGTCTCACTACTAGATCAGACTCTTAGCGATCTGCCTGTTTATAGCCTCCCAAGAGATGGGATTACAGGTGTTTACCACCAAGCCTTGTCTCAACTGCCATCTAAGTGGGTCCCTGTTACAAGGCCACCACAGCAGGCCTGTAGATGGAATCCCTAGCCCCTGTGCCTGTTTGCAGGCACTTTAATCCACTAAGCTATTTGGCTGGCCCAAATATGTTCTGCTCTTAACCTCCAGTGTTTCTAAAATTTATTCTTCAGTCTTAGAGAACATGAACTCAGATTCGGTATCATTCAGGTGGGGAGGTCGAATGCCCTGTATTAGTCACTAGGAGCTGTGGCCTGGGCTCTATGTAGGTCTTGGCAAAGGCTGATGGAAGTGTGTGGTGGCCCTGCATGGGTACATTTGGTTTTCTGGGCTTTTTTAATTTGTCATTTATTGTATTTTGATGAATTAAAGCAGAAGCAAAACAGAGAAAATGACAAAGAGAAACAGGGTAATGTACAACATTGCAAATGTTACAGGTTTTCAAAACAGGAACAGTTAATTAACAGAGGGTGTTATATTATCTATTTTTATCTTCAACTCTGTTTCTCAGATTAATAGGTATAGTTGTGCAAGGTTGGGGATTAAATTGAATATTGGTGCTTGCTTTCAGGAAAACTTCATTTTTTCATTTTTTCATTTTAATTTACTTTAAAGGTAGTAGAAAATGGATAAGACATAAGGAAGAGTACATACTTTGAATGCATCTTCATGGTTTCTTACTCTGAAAGGGGACCAACTTCCCCATGCTGCGGGATCTCTGCATTCTCCTTGGCTTGCTGCACTTAGGATATCCAGGTTCCCCCTTGTCTTTATGGCTCTGGATTTATTTAGTGTTGGGTTTCCACAAGGACTGTAATGGGACAGACCAAGGGGCTTCCAACATCCTTAACCACTTTCATAAAACGTTCAGCCAAGGCCTCTCTGATTTTCCTAGGCTGCCCTCTAAGTCAGCATCCTCCTTGGCCAACCTCCTCCAGGGCAGGTCCGCCATCATGGTTCTGGTTCTTCAGAGGCCCCTGATCTGCTTTCACTTTCACTTTCACCTTGAATTCCTCCCAGAGCAAGTTTTGGCTTCTGCTGCCATAAGGACATCAATATCTCCTCTGCCCTGGGGGGATCCCTGTAGGCCATCTGGGCATGTCCCTGGCAGGAAGCAGGAAGAGCGGGCAGGGACAGCCCCATCTCTACAGCCAGAAACGCCTACCAGGCCTAGGCCACAAAAGACCCTGAGTCCTTGCACGTCCCTTGCTGAATCCTGGACTCCTGAGACACATCAGCTGAGATCACAGCTCTGGTAGGGCAACAGATTGGAGGAAGGTGAGGCCTGCTGTGTCCAGTTGGGTGAGTGCAGGTCACGCTCTGGCCCTGGGGATAGAGCTGGTCCCAGAATGACCAGGGCGCAGCCCCGCGGTGCTGAGGCCTGCATGGATAAGCAGGTCAGGAGACTGACAGGCTCTTTTGCTCTTTACTTCTAGAGTGCAGCATGAACACACTGTCAGAAGCCAGTGTCACCTTTGCCATCTCTCTTTTAAAGCTTTTGGGTCAGGACGACCCTGTGCGCAATGTCTTCTTCTCTCCTGTGAGCATCTCCTCGGCCTTGGGCATGGTGCTGCTGGGGGCCAAGGGCAGCACAGCGGCCCAGATAGTTCAGGTAGGCTTGGCATCTTGGGCTCCTTCTCTAGCAGGAGGTTTTGTGCTTTGTGATCTTTCAGAGCAGGAAGGGGGCCTGCCCCAAATAATAATGCAGAAAACATTAAATTGTCCTGGCAATTTATTCAGGAAATGAGCTGGGGCTGTGTTGGCACATTTCTGAGGAGTTGCCAAGGGTTTGGTCCCAGCACAGGGGAGGAACAGAGAGGAAAAAAATGCTGGAATTCCTTGATGCAGAATTTGTAGAGATCTGTCTCATTTGGAGCTTAAAACTCTGCAATTGTCATTATTTATTGTCACGTTTACTCAGGGAGGAGTCAAGCTCAGACCAGGCCCAAGACCTCCAGGCCCAAGACCTCCATTCTTCTAGCGAACCATGTGACTGTGGGCCACAACAAGGCTGAACAAAATCACCCTAGCAATAATCCTTTTTCCTAGGGGATTTTTAGTGGGGCTGGAGATCTTACCTGAAATCAACCCCGACAGCTGGTCCCTGCATCTCTTCCCCTGCCAAGGCCTGCCAATCTCTGTCACTCTGTTCTTAGTATGATAAACAGTGCCCAGAGGACCCTTTGACTAAAGCCAGCTGTTTGTCTACTGCCTCCTCTCAGTGGAGAGCCCTTGGTGGATACCCTGCTGGGAATATCCTCTTGAGGCTTCTTAGTCACCTGTACACTATGAGCTCCCTGAGGAATGCTGTAAGGAGCCCTGTGAGACAAGGACTCACTTGTCAGATAAACTAAAGGGAGTTTACTGGAAGTCCTGGTGCCTTCCCAGAATTCCATCACTGAGGAGACTGAGGCACCAGGATCATTATGAAATTGCCTCCAGTCTGGCCTACATAGCTAGATCCAGGATCAAAGACTAGAAAGGAAAACAAATTCCTTAAACAGGATCACTATATGGAATAGCTGTGAACAAAGGGTTTGCTTGGTACACTGGTTGTGAGACCAGAGGAAAGTATTGAACACTGGCACTCATCTCACCCACAGGCACTGGCAGTGAATGATGAACAGGACATTCACGGTGGCTTCCAATCGCTTCTCACCCAAGTGCACAAGCCTGGCGCCCCGTATTCCCTCAGCATAGCAAACCGGCTCTTCGGAGAAGAGAGCTGCCAATTCCTCTCAGTGAGTTGAGTCTCCTCAACAGGGAAAGTTGATTTCAAATTCCTGATGGCCCAGAGCCAAGAGGGAGGATCACAGAGAACTTGACAGTCTGATGGGGAACTTGTTTTCTCTAATGACAGAGCTCTCTAAGGGAGCCTTCAATGATTTCTCTTGTGTGGCTCTGTACATTCTTTCATTCCTCTCCCATTCTTCCATATTCAACATTTCTCTGTCTAGAACCTGATATTTGGAATCTCTTAGACTCAGGGCAACATCTGCTGACACACATATACATCTTGTAGACTAAAAACATTGAGTTATTAATCAGAATGCCTGGCAGCTCGCCCACCCTTTGGGCTGTTCTGGAGCCTCACCCAGTGCATCTCTGCCCACAGCCATTTCAGCAGTCCTGTCTGAAGTTCTACCAAGCTGAACTGGAGCATCTGTCCTTTGCCAAAGATCCAGAGATGTCCAGGAAACACATCAATGCTTGGGTGTCCACCAAGACTGAAGGTCAGTACTAGGGGTTTATTCTGTTCCTCCCCTTCCTTATCTTGTTCTTATTGTTGCCAGATCCTCTTTCATTTCCAGATCCGACTATGACATTGACCCCCAACAATAATGGTAGGAGGTTTGACCCATTCACACCCGTGATCCCAACTAGGACCATTGCTATTTCTATGAACATATCTGACAGTAGAAAATGTCATACAGTTTCCCTTTAAATGTCTGCAATTATTTTCCCAATTTTTTGTAAAATCTTTACCATTTTTGCATACTTGAAGCAGCAATTAGCAAGGATGCTCTTTGCTCATGAAAAATAGCCCACAATATCCATGAGCAAAAGATACAATCCTTCGGGGCCACATTCTCTCTAGCAGAGTCCTAGTGCTCTCTCTGGAGGATTAACAGTGATCTCTCTCCCATCTCCTCCCTTTGTGCCCCTGTTCTGACATTGCTTACACTGAGTACTCTCTGCCCCATGGTAGCTCAACATATAAGCACAGAGCCACAGCCCTCACACCCCTCTTAACCACTGAGGAGACTGCTGTTCCCGTGCAGCACAGCTCTCATTGTTGCTTGCTGGGTCTGCAACTTGTCATTTCTTATAACTGCATTTCTTTTATTTATTGATTAATTTTATTTTATTTATTTATTTTATTTTTTTGTGGAACCAGGGCATTAAAATGATACACATTAAGAAGACCAAGATGATGGGTATTTCAAACATGGTTTTAGCATTAAACATTGTTGGTCTCAATGTAGATGCTTAGTTCATGAATATCATCACAGAGAGTTAGTCACTGATAATTTCAAATAACTGATGGAAATTCTTAGAATGATTCCCTTAGCCACCTTGTATATGTACGTGTATGGTTTTGTCCCTACCTTATTTCCTATTTTTCTCCTTCATCTCTTCATTGTTTAATCTTTAAGTTTCTTTCTTCCCATTTAACTGTGTCTATTATACCTTTGAGTTTTTATTTCTTCTCTTGAGTTCTTATACTAGGGAGACAATACAATATTTACTTATGTGGGTCTGGTTTATTTAATTTATGAGAGTAGGCTAGAGTTGCATATACTTACCTATGAAGGCTCCTAGTTTGCTTTTCCTTATAAATGAGTAATACTGCAATGCATAAAAATGCCACAACTTTTTCATCTATTGCTCAGCTAATGGGCATTTCATTTGTTTCCAAGATTTGGCTGTCACAAATTGTGCTGCTACAAACATAAGTGCACATATATCACCATGATGTGATGTTTTCAGTTCTTTTAGGGAAATACTCAGACGGAGAATAGCTGAATTGAACAGGCTTTCCAGTCCTAGATTTTTGAGGCATCTCCACATCTATTTCCAAAATGTTTGTCCCAGCCTACATTCCCACCAGCAGTAGAAAAGAGTTCCTTTTCACTATAAGCCTTTCCATCATTTGTTGCTGGCTGATTTCCTAAAGACAGCCACTCTTTCTGGGGTGAGATTGTATCTCAGTGTTGTTTTAATTTGCATTTCTCCAATGGCCAGTGATGTGGGGCATTTTTCCGTGTATTTTTGCCACTTCTAGTTCTTCCTCTGAGAAATGTATATTCATCTGAAAAGCCTGTTTTTTGTTTTCTTTTTTGATTCTTCTGGGTATTTTTTGTATTGTTATGGAAGGGTCTGCAGGGTGATCAGGGTCGCACTACTAGATCAGACTCATAGTGATTCCCTTGTATACACTCTCCCAAGGGCTGGGATTACAGGCGTGTGCCACCATGCCCAGTCTCAATTGTGGTCTCAGCATGCCCCAGGGGTGAGGCCAGCATAGCAGGCCCAGGGATCAAAACTTAGGCCCCTGCACCTGTTTTCAGGTGCTTCAAAAGCCCATCTTTTGACTGGTTCTTCAAATTTTGGGGACCAAATGATTTTTCTTCTTTATATAATCTGGATAGAAATCTTTCTCTGGGTTTTGTTGGTTAAGATTTTCTCCCACTTGTGGGGTTGTCTTTTGACTCTGTTGGTGATTTCATTCAATGTGCAGAAACTTCCCAGTGTTGATTCTTTGAAATATTTCTTGTGCAGTTTGATTTTCTTTATGAACTGTTTGCCTACCCCAATGTCTTGAAGACTTCCACCTATTTTCTCTTCCAGGAGATTCAGTGTTTCTGTTCTAATGTTTACATCTTTAATCCATTTTCACTTTAGTTTAGTGCATGGTGAGAGACCTGGATCTACTTTTAGTTTTCATCATGTGGAGAGCCAGTTTTTCCAGCATCATTTAGGAAAGAGGCTATCTTTCTTCCAATGAACATGTTTGGGCCCTTGGTCTAAGATAACACACCTGAGTGTGTTTGTAGTTGTAGCTGCATCTTCTAATCTGTTCCATCAATCTTCACATGTCTTTTTTTGTGCCAATACCATGCTGTTTTTATCACAGTAGTTTTATAGTATAAATTCAAGTGGGGATTATAATGCCTCCTGCCTTGCTTTTCTTGCCCAGGATTGCCTTTGCTATTCTATGTCTATTCTGCATCCAAATAAATTTTATTAATGATTTATTTAGATCAATGAAGTATATTAAAGGTATTTTGATAGGAACTGTACTTATTCTGTAAAAGAATTTTGGGAATAAGGTCATTATCACATTGCTTGTTCTTCCTGTCCAGGAGCAAGGAATAACTTTCCATTTTCTGAAATCTTCTATCTCTTTATTGAGTAATGTAATTTTCATTGTATAGAACTTTTACTACTTTAGCTAAATAACTAAGTGTTTCATTTTCCAAGGTGCTATTGTGTAGCAATATTTTCTCTATTTCTCTCTCACTGTGTTTGATATCTCTGTAGATGAATGCTATTGACATTTGGGTATTGAATTTGTATCCTGCTATGCTACTGAATTTGTTTATTAATTCTAGGAGCTTCTTGGAGGAGTTTTTAGATAATCCAAGTAAAATATCATGCCATCTGAAAATAATAGTTTCACTTCTTCTTTGTCTATTCCTATTCCATTTATTATTCTTTGTTATCTAATGGCTTTAGCTAATGAATCCAAAGAATGTTGAATAGGACTGATGATAGAGGGTATAATTGTCTTGTACCATCTATTCATGGTCATAGATGGCTTTTATCAGATTGAGGTGGAGCCCATCTATACCAATTTTCTGTAGGATTTTGAACATGAAAGCGTGTTGGACTTTGTCAGAAAATTTTTCTTCATCAATTGAAATGATCATGTGATTTTTTTGAATTTGGCTCTATTAATATAGTATATTACATATATAGATTTGTTTATATTGAAACATCCTCGTATCCCTTGTATGAATCATACCGGGTTACAGTATGCAATTTTCTGAATGATTTTCTATACTTTGTTTGCTAGGATTTTATTGAGGATGGTTGTGTCTATGACCATGAATGAGACTGGCCTGTAGTTCTCTTTCTTAGTTGAACCTTTTCCTGGTTTTGGTATTAGTATAATACTTTCCTCCAGGAATGATTTTGGGAATGTTCCTTCCTTTTCAATTTCACTGAAGAATTTGAATAGTACTGGGATTAAATCCTCTGCAAATTTCTCGTCAAATTTAGCAGTGATTCTATCAGATCTTGGCTTTTCTTTGTCGGTAAGTTTTTTTACTAAATTTTCAATTTCATTGGCTGATATTGGGTTATTGAAAGTTCTTATATCTTCTTCATTCAGTTTTAATAATTTGTGCCCTTCTAGCAGTTTGTCCATTTCTTCTGTGTCTTCAATTCTGTGAGAGTAAAAATTTTCAAAGTAGCTATTGATAGACTTCTGAAATTCCACAGAGGCTGTAGTAATTTCACCTTTTTTTATTCCTTATAGATTGATTTTGAGATTTTTCTTTCTTCTTTTTGATGAAGTTAGCTAGGGGCTTATCAATTTTATTTACTCTTTCAAAAAATCAGCTTTTTGATTCATTAATACTTTCTATTGTATTCCTTGTCTCAATTTCATTAACTGCTGCTGTAATCTCTGAACTTTCCTCCTATATTTTGGCACTGGGCTTGGTTTGCTCTTCTTTTTCTGAAAGCTTTATGTGCAGCATTAGGGCTCACCTAATGCTGCATTCATCGATTCCCGTCCTATTTTCCTAATGTGTGGGTTTACAGCTATAAATATACCTCTAAGAAGGCTTTCACTGCACTCCACGAATTCTGATGTGTTGTGCCTGAATTTTCATTGAATTATCGATATTGTTTAATTTCTTGTTTAACTTCATTGCAACCCATTTGTTACCGAGGAATGTGTTATTTAATTTCCATGTGTTTATGTGGGTTCTGTAATTTCTTTTTTACTTTTTTGGTAACTGAAGCATATTGCATAAAGTTCTCATCAAATTAGTTGTTTAGATTATCAGATATAAGTATGCAATATTGGTTAAAAAAAGAAAAATATGATAAGAAATTAAAAAGGACAAGAAAAGACTTAAGCATCAACTGGTCTTTTCTGTAGGCCAGCACAAATGAGTACTACAATTATGCAAGCCATCCTGCACACATGCATAAATATATCTCTCCCAACTTTGCTTCCTCTCCCCTACATTTCCTCATCCCAAATTTTTCTTCCATTTGATCAGATTCATTTCTTTTCATGATATGTTTTTTTTTCCTTTTTCTTTTTCTTTCTTTTTTTTTTTAGAACTGGGAATTGACCTTAGACCCTTGTGCTTGCCAGGGAAGTGCTTATTCTACTGAGCCATCTCCCCAGCCCTCATGATATCTATGTCCATATTAATTTTATTTTGAAAGAATTAGCATTGAGACAGTTTGAAAACAGGTTAGTAGGACAGTTACAATTATTAATACATTGCGTATTGTTGTTTTCATAGTAGTTATTCATAGAACAAGATGCAGACATGATATCCTGTCTAAGTATTATTAGTATGAATATTTCTTCTTATTGAATTAACAGAAAAGAGCTGTATATCTATCCTAACTATTTTTTATATACAGATACAAAATGGTCCTTCTTTTGTATCCCATTTTTTTGTTTAGTTTTGTCAGAGATGGG